AAGAGGCCTAGAAACAGTGATCAACAGTAAGCTCATTGATTTGGGACTTGAAATACCATTTCTCACTAAAAGAAGCAAGAACGTCTTAGAAAAATGCCTAATTCTAGACCCAAATGCCCTGTCAAACTAGATGGCAAGAAAGTTCTCAAAGACTGCTAGTGTTTTTCCAAAGGAATCAGTAACCAATTTAAGAGTTTTCTACTGGACAAAGACAGGACAATTTGAGCTTCCAAAAGGAAAATTATTGTAACATTGAACTTGGGACCCGATAGTAGATGAAGTGTTTCCTTATTAAATTATTCTAGCTAATAAGTGAAAATGATTCTTTCTCTCTTCCTCCAATTACCCCTCCCCTTTCCAGAAAAATTTAATCCTGAGTTGTTAGATGAGAGAACCCAAAAGCCATCTGCACCAGGGAGATGGCTGGAGGTAGCAGTGGTGCAGTAAGGGATGGCAGAACCTGAGTTGACTGAGGTGGACATTCATGCAGAGATAAGAGGGGTGGCCAGATGTGGAGGCTCAGAGCCCAAGTAGAGAGAAGGGAGCTTCTATGTAAGAAGGGCACCATGGCCTGGTGTGGTGAGTCAGACAGAATGAGGAGGGCACCTCTATGGAATGGCATCCTGGCACAATCTGTCAGAGCCCAAATGAAGAGGGAAGCCTGACAAAGGCTGTTGAAACCCAAGCAGGGTTAGAAAGCAAAACAGCCCAGACTGGGAGTCAGAGCCCAAGCAGGGACATAACAGCATGCATATAGAAACAAAGATGCGCGGGGGTGCGCCTGGGTGCCTCAGTCGGTTAAGCGTCTGCCTTCAGCTCAGGTCATGATCCTGGGGTCCTGGGATCGAGCCCCATGGCAGGCTACTTGCTTAGCAGGGAGTCTGCTTCTCCCTCTGACCCTTCCCCCTGCTCGTTGTCTCTCTCTCAAATAAATAAATAAAATCTTTAAAAAAAAAGAAAGAAACAAAGATGAGTGATAACGTTACATGTAGAGTATTGGTCAAATACATAAATATATTGAGAATGATGAAAGGCAGATTGCTCACTGTTGGGGAAGAGTTAAAAATATCCAGGGAAAGTAGAAAGACCCTCTAGCGAATTAGAATTATAGGTGTTAGTTTTAATTGTATTTTCCAATATATAGAAATAGAAATGTAGATGTAAATGTGTAGGGATATATATGAGATATATATTTTTTATATTTATTTATAGAATAATATGCACACATTTCCTAGCTCTTTCCACTGAGAGTGAGGGCCTGGGAATAGCAACATCCTGATAGCACTGAGCACATCAAGTACACCCATGTAATGTGAAGGCAAGGTGGTTCCTTAAAAGGGAAAGATAGGTTCTTTTTCTATGAGAAGGGATGCTGGCAGGCAAAAATGAAAGGTGTCCAATGTAGGAGGCAATGTATGTACATGGATTTTTTCATCTTATATAGGGATTTCTTAAGCTCTTACATTTTGAAATAAAGCCTTCAACATATTATTTAAAAATAGAAGGGGAACCATTGCCCTGAATTTAGACTATGTACCTTTCAAATAGAGGAAGTGAAAGAAAAAAATGTTAATGTGTTTATGTCTTCCTGTCCATCATACTAAACAGCAACATTTACTAAAGTGGACCCAGGTTCCTTACATTTTTACAAATCATCCCAGTGATCCTAATGAACCTCCCAAAACTTGACTGTGATACAGATTAGGGATCCTTATAGAAATATATTTACGTTTCATATTTACTGGTGACATAGTTGAAGTTAGAGTTGTGGGAATTTGTTTAAGTTTTGAGAAGTATTTGACCTTACAGCATTCTCCACAAAGCTTTTTATCTGACAGATAATTCTCATGTTCTAGGCTAGGAGTTACAAAGCCTCTATTTTTTCTTTTCATGCTAGAAAATTTTTCTGCCAAAAGTAACTCAAATAACAATTCCTCTGTTAAAAACTGCACCCTCCAAACAGCTTCTTTTCTTCCCCTGTAGGAAAAATATAATTTTCAGGGCCTAAGTCCTGACAGTCTATAATTATTCATAGTATGAATCAAAATCTGATGCTTTTTTCTTGAGGGGGGCTGTATTGTTTGTGGTACTTTTGTGGAGGCAGGGAATGAAACAGAGGTTTATCTCATGTTACCAAAGCATCCCCTTGATTTGGCATTCTTCCTTGAAGGGTAGGTTCATATGAATCCCAGATTTGATTTACCTCAGGGTGAAATACAAGCCTCTTGTATTCTGTGAATTAAAATGGTCCTTGTGCCTCCCTAACTACCCCTGGTTTTCAGTGGAATGTGACCATTCTTGGTAAGAATACTGCTAGATTCATATGCATCCATGGCTATGGCTGGATATTTAGTTACATGGTGTGCAGGCTTTATTCAGCCAAAAGCTGAAGTGGCTACTTATCTATCACACAATAAAGTTCACTGCCAATATTCTTCAACATGATAAGGTCAGTAACTTTAATCGGATGGGACTCTAGCCCATATTTGATTGAAAGGGAAAAGAATATGTTGTTCTTATTCTATTTTTGTGCTTTTTATATTCCCTTTTTCCTTTTGTTAGATTGAGACCTTCTGTCAATGAATAGTAATAATAGTTGATCATTTATTGAATGTCTACTTTACTCCTGAATGGTGTTAGGTACATTACATTAATTACTTCCAATCTTCAAAAGGTGTTAGGTACATTACATTAATTACTTCCGATCTTCAAAGGCTCTGAAAGGAAAAATTATTTGTGAATAAAATGTCCTTATTTGAATTGATTAATATTGTTTGGAGACAAAAGCATGAGATCTGAGTATCAAAGGCCTAATCCTAGTAGTAACTTTTACCAGTCTTGAGACCTTGGGAAAGTCATTGAATTTGAGCCTTAGTTTCTTCATTTTTCAAATGGGAATAATACTAATAGACACTGTTTTCATAGGATTACATAAGATCATATACATTAATGTATTTTGTAACCTATGAAGTTATGGATATTATTAAGATTAAAGTGAGGAAGAAATTTCTTCTTAGTCCATTCATCATTAAATATCTGTTGAGTGCACTTAGAGGTAGCATATTAGGTGCTGTGGATAAGGCAGTGAACGGGTAGACAGGAACCCTCTTTCATGAAGTTAAGACTGTGCTTCTGCACTGTTCAATATAATAGCTTCTAGCCACCTGTGGCTATTTAAATTATTAAGATTAAATGTAACATAAGGGGCGCCTGGGTGGCTCATTCGGTTAAGCGTCTGACTCTTGATTTTGGCTCAGGTAATGATCTCAGGGTTGTGAGATCAAGCCCCGCAAGGGACTTCGCGCTGAGCCGGAAGCCTGGTTAAGATTCTCTCTCTGCCCTTCATCCCTCTCCCCCACTTGCACACTCCCTCATAAATAAATAAGTAAATAAATAAATGCAACTTAAAATTCAGCTCCGCAGTCACACTAACTGTACTTCAGGTGAGAAATGGCCAAAGTTGGCTAGCAGCCACCATAGCGGACACTACAGATATAGAACATTCCCATCATTGCAGAAAATTCTGTTGCAAACCTCTGCATGGGAAAGACTTGTGAGGAGCAATTTGAAAGACTAGTCAAATCAGAAAAAGTAATGTTTGAGCTGAAAACTCAGGGGTAAGTAGAAATTTTCTAGATAATGTGGAGTTGAGGAAAGCATTTCAGAAGGAATGAATGAAGAGTATTTGCAAAGACACTGAAGGGGAAGAAGAAAAGGGTGATTTTGATCCAGAAAGATTTCATGTACAGAGTCTGTGTGGCAGGATTAGCCCTACAAGGGAGGAATCAGTCTTCCTTGATTGTAACAGGAGAAGCAAAGGAGAGTATGGGTGAAATATGATAGGTTTGTAGATTTGTGGCAGAAAGTGAGAATTTTCTTGTTCCAGTAGTTCCATTTTCATTCTGAAGTGTAAGATCTTCTTTTGAAAGCAAGAGGAAGAAAGGAAATGATGGGGTTTTGAAGAGAATGGATAATGTATGGAGCAAGTCTTTGTGGAGAGTGGGAGAGTGAGCAGACTAGATGGATTCAGTAAGATCCTGAATGTGTAGTCATACCAAGATCAGAGATTATCCAGCCAAAATAAATTAATACATCAAGACACTGAGAATGGTGCTGGCCTACGGAAAGAGTTAAACATTAGTGACTATTACCACTGCTGGGGTTTGGCTAGTAGGAGTGACAAACAGAACAACAGAAAGGGAATGTTTCATGTTTATCAGAAAGTGACTGTAATGATGGCCTACAGAATCTATCATAGGTAAAAATGGAAGTGAGACAACGGGAGTGATGTATAGGGGAGAATTGGAGAGATCTGGGAATGTGTCTGGTGAATATCTGTTGGTGGTCTACTTAAGCAAATAAGTGGAGAGGAGAGGATTGCTCAGAATGAGGTACATGAAACAGAAGAAGGAAGGACTACAAAGAAATATTACACTTCACTCACAAAAGAATCCCACAGTCTTAAGTAATGTGTGTTATTTCCTGGTGAAAAGCAAATAATTGCTCTAAGTAAATGACATCATCAGTGGCAGGCAATCCCCAAATGGCTTGAAAACTGAAACATGGGGAGTTTGACATTTTGAGAGTTTACAAGGCTTACAACATAATATCCATACCCTGAAGACTTAAATCAAAATATGAAAACCTGTTGACTTATACTCATTTTCTCTGCCATCATAGTCTCACCTTCTCCCCATCTGCAATTTTATTCCAGTTTAAATGTCACACAGAAACTGATGGTAGCTGTTGTTCTAGCTAATCCTGTGGGTGGACAGTACTGTCCTCTAATTCTATTTTGTGCCATGAGAACTAGGTTGGTGTTCATGAATATAAAGTAGTATCAGCCTGAGGAGTGGTTTGTTTGTTGCTCCTCAAAGCTGCTCTGTGAAGCAGTTTCTAATACAATCATGAAAGTAACTTTTGTTTCAAAATGTTTAGGAAAATGAAATATTATAGTCTAATTCATTAAAGTCATTCTTCCCTTTCATTTTGTATTGAAGGCTTCAGCGATTAGCTAAAGATCTTCTAAAACAACTACAAGTACAAGACAGTGGCCCATGGGCAAACAATAAAGTTTCTGCTTTAGATCGGACCCTAGGCGAGATCACTAGAATATTGGAAAAAAAGGTATGTAACTAATCTCTTGCCTTGCTTGGCCTTAATGTTTGTGGTTCTTTCTCACTATGACAGGACATAGGACTATAAGGCTGACTGACTCTCATTTATGCATTTCTTCTGTGTTTCCAAAAGCTGGTCAACCACTGATCAATGTTTTTTCCTTTCATTCTTAATTAAACTGATGTTGTTTTCAGTCATTTTAATTGAAATCCTCAATAGCAAAAATATCATCTTTAGATCAGTCATATTTTTTGCCACACAAACAAAAACAAAATTATTTTAAATGGAATCATAGTAATAAAGGTGTACAATTTTATGGCAGAAAATGTAAAACTTTGAATTATATAACTCATGAATCACAACCAGATTTCCACAAAGCGCCTATTTCCTTACTGTTTCCAACAGAAAATTTGGCAGTTTTTTTTTAAATGACTTAGAGTCTTTAAATGTTCTTTTGATAGTTAAAAAATTCTTAATGATTTTTAAAGTATTATTCAGTATAGAAAATTTTAAATATACAAAAAAGAAACTCCCTCTAATACCCACTGTTGACATTGTATTATATTTTCTTATCTTTTTATTGTACACTTCTCACATTATTTTATCTGACTGATTTTATCATAAATATTTTCTCATGTCTTTAAAAATTCCTTGTAACCAAATGAACATATCACAGTTTATGCAATTTATATCACTTAGTTGGTTTCTAATTTTTCTATCTGATGTAATGATATCTTTATTATCTGCATTTTTTTGTTTTTTTGTCTTCTGGGTTTAAATTTATAATATTTGAGATACACAAAAGAATGTAGTGATAAAAATAATCTAAATATAATGAATGTCTGTGAATTCACCACCCAGCTTAAAAACTAGACTGTTCCCAGCACATCTGTGGTTCCCCGTGCGATCCTTCCACCCCCATTCCCATCCCTGCTCCCTTTGAAGGAAATACTATACGGTATTAAAGGGATATCTTTTATTTGTTTTTTAATAGCTTTATTTCTTTATCACATTTATAAATGTATAAAGTGATATATTATTTAGTTTTGCTTGTATTTGACCTTTATAAAATATCATACTGTAGACGTCTGTGATTTTTTTTCAATCAAAATTATGGTTCTGAGTTTTATTTAGGCTTATAAGTGTAGCTGTTTTTCATTTATTTTCTCTGTTGTGAGTGAGTACTTCATTGTGTTAATAACACAGTTTTTAATCCCTTTTCCTGACACAGACATTGTTTTCTAGGATTAAATTCATTCAGGGTTGAATGTGTATGGGTTTGTGTGTGTGAAAGAGAAAAGAAAGTGAGCGATTAGAGACAGTGCTGCTCAAACATTCTTCTATCAGAGCAAATGAACAAATTTCTCCATAGACTTTAGTCTACATCAGAATCACTTAGGACTTGTTAAAGCACACCCCACCTTGGGTTTCTGAATCAGTAGGTCTGTAGTGGGTCCTAAGAATTTGTATTTCACAGGTTACACTGATGCTGCTGGCCCAAGGTTCATACTTTGAGACATTGCTCTTATCTGGGGCACATGCCTCAGGGGTGGAATTACCGGGTTCTCAGGCATATGAATGACCAGCTTCACAAGATAGTGTTCAGCTGCATTTTGGCGTCAGACAGTGCAATCCTCTGTAGGAACTGAGAGCAGCATATTCACTGAGGCATTGTGGCAGAGCCACAAAGAGTCAGTTCTTCTGGATAACACATACCTTTCAGAGTGTCAGAGAGTTCAGAAACTGGTCATTGTCAGACATGTGCTAGATGGGAATGTTTGGAGGTTTGATATACCTTGGAAAAATCTATTTTAAAATTAGCACATACTGATTATTTTTATAAAGGGTATTTGTGTTTGAACTAAAAAGGATTTACTTGAAGATATCACTATGTGCACCTTATCTCATGAATATTGTTTTAGATTGAAGTAATCACAGAATTTTTGAGGAAAAGGTAAAATGATCTGTATAAGAAAGGTATTCAGTATGAAAATCTAAATAAGGTTATTTCATTCACAAAGGGGCAATTTACTGGAATACCACTGATTCCTTATAATTTTGGGGAGAAAAATGTAGTCTGGCTCCAGTCTAAATGGTCTGTGTCAGAAACCTTGCTGTAAAGCTGTCCTCAGAGTACACACTGCAGGACCACCTGAGAGTCTAAACTTACCTACAGTAAGATCCTTTTGCTATTTTTATAACGAAAATCCCTTTTACCTAGCCAAGACAGACTCACTTTATGTGGAATTCTGTTCATAGTGTTATACTGACATTTCAGTGTAATTCAGCTGATATTTATGATTTCAGTCTAGAAATTGTAAATAACCATTCATTTTTGTTTGGAAAACTGCCTGGAGTAACAAAATCATTAGCGCCAAAGCCAAGTACCCAGTGAAGATTTGAAAACAGCCTAGAAGTGACAAGGGTGGGCCTGGTGGAACTTGGGCAAGCACTCCCTGAGGAATGGTGAGAGATCAGTCTTGAGCTCTTTAGCCTCTTAATTGAGATTTCAACACACTGATGCTTTCTGTTATTGCTTTGATACAGTTTTCCTTAGATACTTTTTCTAAAGTTCTGAGAACTACTTTAGAGCTAACAGGTTAAACTTTGTGATGCACAAAAACACTCTTGTAATGAAAGAGATCAGGAAACTGAGGAAACATGCCTATTGTAGTACTTACCATTTGTGTCAGGTCCCTTCTGACTTTTTGGGTTCTCTGATTCTGTTTAGAAATAAAGAGTCTGTAAGCTGTGTTGCATATGTTACAGTTTTTAACAAACTCCACCCAATTCTGCAAGAAATATGGCGGCCTAGGGTATTTGCACCCACTCTACCAACAAAAACATCTAAAAATACTGGGAAAAATTTAAAGTAACTTTCTTAAAAGCATCAAATTGCTAAGAAGAAATTGAAGAATTACCAGGCCAAAGAAAAACCAAGAATTTAGGAAGTTGTGTTCAGTTATAACTGAATCCCCCAAGAGCATTTGCCAGGCTGGCAAATGTGAGTTATGATTTGCAAGCCTCATGGGATGGGGAACAAAAGTAAAAGTTTAAGGGCTGCCTAAGGTATGACATCTAATAGCTTTTCTGTTTACAAAGATAAGACCACCATAACCTATTCTGTGATACAATCATGAACCCTCTTACCTCATTCTCAGAGACTGCAAAGAAAGTGCCTTGGCATAGTGCAGAAGTTATAACTATAATCCAGCCCTGGAGTAGACTTGCAGCCCAAATTCTCATCACCTGTATCATTTCAAATGGGGAATTGAATTTAAAGTAATCCCAGATTGATTAGTGGAACTGGCAGAAGGAAATGCAAGTCCTCACTTAAAGAAGACACTTTTATCCTAGGCCTCAGATAATTTCTGTCAAATAATTTTACAAGAACCACAGTCCCAAAAAAGGGGGTGCAAAAGTAAATAAATCATTTTGAGTAATAGCAAGCAGAAACTAGAATTGCAAGCCTTTGTAAATACCAGTTACAGATTATAACACTATGTTTCTTATCTTTTAAGGAAATAAAAGGCTTGAAAATATCTACAGTTATGGACAGAGTAGGTAAATCAGAGCAGTTATCCTACTGATGCCAATTAATAAAGCTAGACAAAATATAAACTGGAACTGAATTGCTAACAAAGTAGTGAAGAATTACTGGGCTGAGATCTAGACACATGGCATTTTGGGGCTGGGTATAATTGGTGATCCAAAAGAAGTGGATGAGAAGCTGAGTAATATTTTTGACATTGTTGTAGAACTTGTGGATTAAAAATGTTGTAGTCTAGGACTATCAATGATAGGGACTGTGGCAAAACCCCCATGTTTTGGGTTGAGATCTTAAAGGGCTGCGCTAGGTGAGAGGGTAGATTGGAAGTATGCCAGTCATTGCACAGACCACAGCTCAACTTCAGATCATCTGGGTGGCTGAAAAAAAAAAATCACAGTTGCTGAAAAAAAAAGTAAAATGATCTTGGATTGCTAATACCTCCAGGTGCCTAATAGAAGCAAATAGGAAATCTACTCCGAAGGAAGATAATATCAACCTAAGTCTCAAATTACTTCAACAAAATAAGTTTCAAATACAATGTCTGACAGAGAAAGGTAATTAAACATATAAAGGGGCAAGATAACATGGATAAAAATCAGTGGAAACGGACCAATAGGGGCTATGCTTACTATGTTCAAGGATATAAGTATTAATTATTTTTTAAAAGGTATAGCACATTTGAAAGAAAATAGAAATTTAACTGAACATTTTGCAATCAAAATTAAGAAAACTATACATCACATACCAGCAAAATAAACCCACTGAAGAGAAAATAAGTAAATTCTAAGTCCTAAGAAGGAATCCAGACTAAAACATGGAGAGAATATATGAAAAATACAGAAAGGATTAGAAGAGGAATATCAAATATAATGAAGTGTTTAATTTATGTATAATTATCCACGAGGAGAGGAGAGAACAGGGCAAAAACAGTTACCGGAAGTGATTATCATTTAGAACTTTCTAAAACTTATAAATCAACCCAATGAAGCCCAAACAGTGAAAATAAAAAGAAATCTACAACTACAGACATCATCATGAAACTGGAGAAAATCAAATTACAAGCCAATCTCATTCATGAGCTTAGATTCAAAATTCCTAAACAAATTTTGGCAAACAAAATCTTGCAATGTATAAAAAGAATAGTATATCACAACAAAATTGGATTTATTCAAGATATTCAAGTTTGGTTTAATATTGGAAAATCAATCAGAGTTTATCATATTAATATAAGAAAAGAGAAAAATACGTGATCATCTCAAAAGATCTAGCTGAAGCGTTTGGTAAGTTCAGTATCAAATCAATTCATGATTGTAAACAAGGAATAAAATACAATTTCCTTAATCTCACAGATTGTATCTAAAATAAAAGTGTAGCTAATATCATAAACTAATAAGTTTAACAAGTCTACTAGGATACAAGAATAGTATATAAAAATCAATTTTATTTATATCATCATCAA